TGTGTGTGTGTGTGTGTGTGTGTGTGTGTGTGTGTGTTCTCACCGTGCATGCCGTGTGTGTGGTGTGTCAGCAGCTGCGACAGCGCCCAGAAGGCGTCCTCCTCGTTCAGGAACATCAGCAGCAGAGCGGCGATCTGACTCATCCCCTGACAGTAGCTCACCTCCTGCAGGACACAGAGACAGAAACAACAACAACAACAACAAGGGGCAGTCAGCCGTGACGTGGACATATCCAAAGTAGAAAGCTTTAAATGTCCTTTTTTGTCAGCGAGCAACTCAAAGATATTCTCAATGATACGATATCACAAGGAGAAAAGCAGAACATCTACATTTGGGTACATTTTGTGAAATCCCTGAATGAAAAAACACGTTTACGATTAAATATTTATCACTAAACTTTACGACTAATCGATAAATCCACTAATCGTGGCTTTAATAAAACGACAGCTAACAACATTAATTAGTTTCAAGAGCAAAGCATTTAGAAATCTTTGCACATTGTTAGAGAACAGAAAACACTTATTTGATATCATTAGTTACGTGTTACTTGTAGCCCTTGTTGAGCTCTGAAGCAGTAATCATGATAATAAACATCCCAGAGGCTCTTTCTCTTAAAGTCCTTTCATGGCTGAATATAAACGAGTATTAAAACAAATGTGTGGATTATCCTGCATGCTGTGCAGATCCTTGCTAGAGTAGAGTAAGATGATGCTAACGTTAGCGACACACAGGATGGGCTGTTGTGTTTGATTAGCTAGAATTCTTTAAGGGGCAGCTTTGTCTAAAAGCACTACATTTCAAGTTATAGACCCAAAACACGACTGAAGTCTAGGTTTGGATACATGAACTTACTGTGTTGTAGACGGAGTATGCAGAGAGGACGCTGAAGAGAGCCTGCTGCCTGCACACAGGAACAAGAGGAAGTTAAAGAACCTTTCTATGATTTATGTCCTAAACTGTTTTCTATTAATAGTCACCATAAAGTAAGTCAGCCATAAGAGGTGTTACCTTCAATGAGAGACATTTAAAAAAAAGATTATATTATTGTTAGATGTTGATGGCGAACCCAGAAAGGGAAATACAGCTAATAGGATCTAAACAAACAAATAAATAAACATGGTGAGACTCCTCAGATAAGAAGGAAATAAAACAGGTAAGCTACGACAGAATACAAAAAACGAACAAATGTATTTTTTACAGATGAAATACATTTTAAAGAAGACAAAAAGAAATCTAAAATCAAATAAATATAAAGAAAACAGACAAAACTGAACACAGATGCAAGGTCTCCTATTATACTCTTTTTCAACAATATGATTGGCTTAAGAAAAACACAATGGAGGACATTCGGGTGATGATGATATCTAAAAGACATGAAAAAGTGACCTTTGATACACAAACAAAGTAGAATAAAGAACATGGGTTATAAAACATACAATACATCGCAACACATAGATACACCTTCGCAGAGACCAGAGCTACAGAGCTGCTCTCTGTTTCTCCTTTCTTCAGGTCCGCTGAACTCCTGCTGAATATCTGAGTGTTTCCGGACCCTCAGTTTTCCACTGAGCCGGCCTGTGGTGAGTTAAACTGCCGGTGACTTCCCTGAGTGACGGATCCCCAACACCCCCCCCTCAAATAAAAGCTCATGTTACTGCGGGGTCGCTACACTACACATGTGCAACACGTTCTAAATCTAAACTGTGGTTAGGACCATGATGGGTAGAGGAATGTTAAGAGACATGGAAACTGCAGTTTGTTCTTCAGGGCTTTTAGATTAAAATGTAATCTTTCAATATGTGTTCATGTGCAATAGCAGCTGTAATAGAGAGGTGCAGTGATGACATATTTCCTAGTGGACCCTGAAGGCAGCATACCCCATGTTCCCGGCACAAAAAGCCAATGGGATTTTCCCATTTCAGCCATAAAGTGAGTGCTGCTCCACCTGAGAAGAAAGGATTACAGATGCAGATTCTGACTGAAATGTGTTTTTATCTCTGAGACCCACTTGACTCCGAAGCGATCCATGAACATCACGTGGTTCCTGAAGGTGCGGTTGATGTCCAGGTCGATCTGTTTGATCTCAGCCGAGCACAGCAGCGCCTGCGCCTTCATTTTCTGACAAGAGACAACCAAAAATAATTTGATAGATTCAAATATATACGTATATACCTGATCTGATTTTAATGACAGGTTTAAGTTTTCAGATAATACATTTTTTATTATCTTTCATTATCTATTTTAATTATAGAATAAGCTGACCATTATTTTCTGGTTAATTTACAAGTAACTAAAAAGCATTTTTGAAAACACTTTTTATTTGTTTGTATCTACATCAATGGATATGTAAATCTATCTAATTCATTACAGAATTTACTGTTTTATTTTTATTCGTGTAACTTGTTTTTATATTTTGTAATTTTATTATAAACTTTCAAATATTTTGGAGTGTAAACGTTTTTTTTGTTGCATTTGTGGAAAGTGTTTTAAATTAACTGATTAGATATTTACACATGTATTGTCGAAGTAAACATTGTAACGTTGACACAAATGTACCTCCATAAAGTGTGTACAGTATGTGAGTGTGACTGTATGTTAGTCTGGAGGGATGCCAGCGATTATTCGATTTTTCGAATATTCGTTACAGTCTCTATAATCGAAAATAAAAAAATGTAATTCGATTTTATTTATATATTTTTGTATTATTATTTATGTTTTTAAAAAAGATTCTGGCTTAGTTTCAACCAAAATATAGACTAATGCTAATAATAGTAATAGTACTAATAATTGTAAATGGCCAATGGTCACACCACCAGTTTGTTTTACTGTAAATTTGGAGGAAGCCAGCAGCGCAGGCTGCGCAGAGTGCAGACTGCTGCTGCATGCTACACACCGAC